TGCAGAAGTATGGGCCTCAGGTAGTGGTCCGATAAAACTCTGGGTGGCAGGTGGTGTTCGGCAGAATTTCGAGCGCCATGTAGTAATCCGGCATAAGTTTGGGCCTTAGATGGTGGTCCAACAGAACTCCAGGCCTCAGATAGTGATATGGTAGAAGTTCAGGCCTCAGGTGGTGGTCCGACAGAAGTCCGGGCCTCAAGTGGAGGTCCGACAGAAGTGCGGGCTTCAGGTGGTGATCCAATAGAACTCCAGGCGTTAGGTGGTGGACCGACAGAACTCCAAGCGTCAAGTGGTGGTCCGGCTGAACTCCGGGCATCAGGTGGCGGTCCAGAGGAGCTCAAGGCCTCAAGTGGTGGCCCAACGGAGCTTAGGCGTCATGTGGTGGCTCGACAAAAGTTGGGGCCTCAGGTGGTGGTCTGGCGGAACTCAAGGCCTCAAAGTGGTGGTTTGGTGGAACTCAGGGCCTCTAGTGGTGGTTCGGTGGAGCTCAGGGCCTCTAATGGTGATCTAGTAGAGCTCACGGCCTCAAGTGGTGGTCTGGCGAAACTCAGGGCGATGGTCGAGGAGGAGTGAGGAGGCAAGAGCGATCTTCGATCTCTATTTTGCTCTCTTTCTTGGAGCATGCTTTTCAAGAGGGATGAGAGATCTATTTATAGATTTCTTAGAGTGGCATGGCCCGGAGATAGGTGGAAGATCAAGGGCAAATGAGGAGTGGTTGGATGGACTGCCGATGTTGAATCCCTTGATCATGGATTGTTTGATGGACATTTGAATGTCTTACTGGTGTTGGAATTATGCGATCTTGAGCTCGTTGGTTTCATCTCATCGAGCCACTCGATTCAACTATAAGCATGTCACATTTGGAAACCGTTTGGTAATCCAAATTGTGGTTTGAACCTTCCAACTACGCTTCGAGTCCATGATTCATACCCATTTGATCTCGGATTAAGTCGAATTAAGTGTCGTTGGGTTCCTATTTCCGAGACGTTCAGTTCGACTATAAGTTTGTTGAAATCAGAATTTGAATAGTCCCAATTTTAATTTTGAAATTTTCCCACTTAATTTTGCCTCAAGATTCGTGCCCCATCAAAATAATTTTTTGAGGACCTATCAGATATACTTCTACAATTCTACTCTAGCTAAAGCTTCAGACATATTAGACTTTTTTTCAACTATTTTGATGTCAGTTTTATGAATAATTAACGTGGCATTAGTATAATACGTCCAAATTTTAATTAATTTCACCCAACACGTCTTAGCTCACTATCACCTGGCCGTCGCACAGCAACACACGTGTCAATCCGTCGGCGCCGTCGAATCAACCGCTTTCTCTGGTGTCTCGAATTTAATTAATTAATTAACCAAAATCCGCTAATCTATCTTTAAATTAAATTATCACTATACGATATTTTTTTAACGCTAAAAGACGTGAGAGGTGGCTTTAATTATTACTTAATTAGATATTAATTATGAATTAGTTTATTACCACCGTACCCTCCGACAACTTGGCCGTAAAAAGCCGCCGAGGACTGAGGTCCATGCCGCAAGTGGTGGGGACCACCGGGTTCGTGTCGGCCAGGGCCCACCGCAGCCGGCGAACGGCCGTGCGTTGCAGCTTGTTCGTCCGTTCTAATTGTGAACCCCACATACTTGTCAGAGCATTATATGTTATCAGTCAACACGAATCGTGAGGAAAATCAAACGGTGTTGAAATTCGTTGGCTTGGAAGGCTTGCCAGAAGGTAATGGATCTACGATGGCGGACCTAGTGGGCCGGCCTAGTACGTGGCGGAGCCCATGGGTTTCATGGCACACGTGCGCCCGTTGTAGTCACCGCAGGAACTGTACTTTTTAATAGGATTGGTGTGGCCTACCCTGCGCCTTGACATCCATCCATCCATGGCTGCCCATCGGACGGTTCTACTCTATCCACGTGTAGCGTCGTCCACTAATTAAGATAATGGCCTACGCATAAAGTGTAATGTCGGTACTTAAAAAAGTAATTATCAAAACTTATCTATATCAAATTAAATTTACGATTTGGCATTCTTTTTATTTTTATTCGATAGGCAGAAAATTCTACATATATAGTACTAATTAAATGTGTGTGCATCATATTCTTAAATAATTATTATATCATAATAAGATAATTAAATTAAATGATATTGTAGAATATATCATATAAATTTCGCCCTCGGACTTTTAAATAATTCAAGTATATGCCTTACGATATTTTCACAAATTCATGTAAGTTATTGTATCTCCCTACGTCTGAAAATAATCATTTTATTCAGACGACATTTACAGTATTGATATCATACTCGGTGTATTGCCATAGTTTTTTTTATCAACGTTTAAAAAAAAAAAATCTCAAAATACATAAACTATCGCTTAACTCTCAATATAATTACAACAATTTATGCAGAATAATTATAATGATTGAAACCTTACAAAAAATTTGACTGGATCGTTCAAACTATGATTTTGACAAACTTATAGTCAAATTGAATGTCTCGAAGAAATGAACCCAACGACACTAAAATCGGTTCAATCCGAGCCCAAATGAGTCTAAATCAAAAGATGATGCACATTTGGAAGGTCAAACCAAAAATTTGATGATCATATGATATTCAAATATAACATGTTTATAGTTGAATCAAGCGGCTTGATGAGAGGAATCCAATAAGCCCAGTATCTCTTAATTCTAACATCAATTGGGCACATAAATACTTGAAGAACAATCTGTGATCGGTGGGATCAATATGGCCACATGGGTCGTCCGATAGAGCACTCTAAATTTGCCCCTGATATTCTCTATATTTACAGGGTATTTCATTCTAAAAATATACATAAATAGACCCTCACATATGACATGAAAGAGGGATTTGGGTCTTTAAAAACATGAGCTTTGGCTGAAGATTGGAGCGAGCTCTAAGTCTTCAAGTAGGGGTGTCAAAATCAGGTTTCAGATCGAGTTTGGGTCAAACTTGGAACCAACCTAGTTCAAAAGCATTGACCCTTGCCCAACACTGTTCTACAAACAGGTTGAAAGTTTACACCCCGACCCGATCCATCGGATTACAGGTTTATCGACCCAACACGATAACCCATATTTTTATGGGTTGAAAATGCGTTGTTTCATGAGGGACTCCGGGTGCAGACTATAGATGCGTCAGTGCATCACGCCTCATGTAAGCGGCGAGACGAGTGCCGAAGCAGCAAAACTAGCACGGTACAGAACTCGAGTCGGGAGCAGACACGTGACGTGAGAGCATGAGACCGAGATAGTGAGGCAAGAGCTGCCACTTGCCAAGTGAGTTCGAACCCGTATGGGGGATGGCAAGGGAAGGCAAGTGCAGACCCGTGCACGGGAGAGGCAAATTAAAGTCGAAGGAAGTAGGATCCAAGTCAATAAGTTGTTTTTGGGTTTCCAGGTCAATCCGTTTTTGAAATGGGTTAGTTTGTTGAACTCGAACCTGACCCGTATGAAAAATAGAGTAACCCTAACCCCAAATTTTTGGATCAGGTTCGAGTCTTGTCAAATATTGACACCCCTACCTTTAAAGATCTAAAGCTCCGCCCAAGCACCTATGTTGCTGACCAGACCACCGCTTGGCAGCCCGACCACCACAGGACATTCGCACGACCACCATTAGATCATCGCTCGTTCTCTAATAACAGCCAGGCCACCACTCGACCGGACACTGCCCGATTTCCCTCAACACACCACTCTAATCTCCATTACCTACATACTAAGATCCATCTGACAATCGTCACCCGACGACTATGATCCTTTCGACCTTTGACACTCGTGAACTACAATCCCTCTAAACACCATCTCATGCTGATTATGACCCCTCTAACCTCTGTTGCTCGCCGACTACAATCCCTCTGACCATCGTCTTGCATAAATATTATCCCTCTAACCTCCATCGTCTGCCTAATACGGTCCCTTTAACCTCCATCGCCTACCTACTATAGTCCATCTGACCTCCGTCGTGCACTAATTATGATCCGTCAAACCTTCCTCTCCCGCCAACTACGGTCCCTCCAACCACCATCATCCGACGACTACTATGACTTCGTCCACCGTCGCCTGCCATTTACATTCCCGTCGACCACCGTTACCACCCCCCCCCTGTCGATTATAGTCCCTTTGACCACTATCGCTCATCGACTATAGTCCCTCAGACCATAGACTACAACCCTGTGGTTTTTTCTGTATTCAAGATTTTCCATATAAAAATCTTAGTGCCTCTTATGTCTCTCGCACTCCTCTTTCTTTTATGTATGTGTACTGAATCTTCATAAAAGGCTTATACATCAAGCACTATATCTCTCTACTACCATGAATGTTCTAGGACATAACTATGATATACAAAAAATTACACAATAAAAAATGCTAGTATATCAAGATATATTAACTTTGATAAATCTATCCAAATTAAATAAAAAAAAAATTACATAAAAAATCATACAAAAATTAAAGTACGATAATGATGCCCTACCTCAAGTCAAAAATTGACCCATCTTAGACACTTGCAAAACTAGCTTTCTCTCTCATCCGTGGCTTGTTCTCCTTCTCTCCCTATTTTCTACTCATCACCAAGGGAAAGAGAAATGAGGCATTTTGGAGCTTATCAGAGAATGTTTTATTAAAAAAAACATTAATTAAGGGCATTTTTATAATTTTCTAAATTATTTGATTTAAATTACAAAATTTATATAAATCCTTTATATATTAAAAATCTAGAGCCAAAAAAATTCTTAAAAAAAACCATAAAATAAAAAATCATATATAAATGCTCTATCAAAAACTATTTGTAGAACTAACGCCCTAGGATTCCAGAAAACTCTTACACGGACAAATGTAACTTCCTAAAAAAATTTAAATTAAATAAATAATCTTATATTTACAAACTTACCATGCTCAGAAAAATAAGAAAAAATATTTATAAAATTAATTAAGCCAAGCTCAAAATTTCATCACACGTGTACATAACAAACATAAATTACCGCAAATGCCCCTCACACGTGCAAAACCAATCACGGGCATACTGCATAAATCCGACCCGAACTCACAAAGAATTATGCGTATAAAACGGAACAATAATTATTCATTTACAAAATCAATAACTATAAAGTGGATCTCACAGCCAAACTTCGACGGGCAGATCCTAACCCAACGTAACCGCAACAAATCCGAGCCGTCCATCGCGCTCCCATACCTTCCGCGCACGCCACGCCTGCCCTTTATGACCGTCGCCAACCGGACGAAGTGCCATTAAAAATAAAAATAAAGCAATTAATAAAATCAAATTAAAAGAAATTCCTGTCGGATGAAAGCAAGACCACCGGCTCCGCTATAAATAACCGCCTCCGCTCTCTCCCTCCTCACCAAATCTACCCCTCTCGCTCTCTCTCTCGGTCTCAATGATGGCGGTCGATACTCTTCGTCTGGGGAAAGAGGCATTCGGCGCGGCCGGCGAGGAAAAGACGACTCCAGCTTCCACCGCTGCAGCAGGCGGCGGCGGCGGCGGCGGCGGCGGAACGAAGGAGGGGCACTACCGCGGCGTGAGAAAGCGGCCGTGGGGAAGATTCGCCGCGGAGATACGCGATCCGTGGAAGAAGACGAGGAAATGGCTGGGTACCTTCGACACTGCAGAGGAGGCCGCGAGGGCTTACGATGAGGCCGCGCGAAACCTCCGTGGCCCCAAGGCTAAGACTAATTTCACAGACGGCGATGTGCCTTCATCGGAGTCGAGCTCGCCGCCGGCGATCTGGACGGCAGCTCAGTGGCCTCAGGCGTTCCCGGACGGCCGAGATCTGGTGATCGTCGCACCGACGGCAGGATCGGAGTTCTCCGGGTACAGATTCGACGCAGTGGAGATGATGGTGAGGACCGAGCAGGAGAAGAAGATGAAGAGATCGGTTGCAGAAGAACGGATCACGAAGAAGCCTCTGGGCATCGATCTGAACCTTCCGCCGCCTCTCTATTGAGATCAACTTCCACTTCCGTCTTTTCTCGGCTTATCTTATTTTATGTTTTTTCGTTTTCCCCCCTCAACTTTTTGCATTTTACCCCCCATTATCTGGAAGTTTAATCTATCCACCGATCGTGGTCTGTTATGTACAGCTTAATCGCTAATTATCGGATTATTAACATGAAAAATATTTTTTTCAGGCTGTCTCTATTACCAGAAAATAATATAAATAATTTTAGAGGTCGATCGAGAAAACTAAAGATTTTAGCGTAGCTCGCGAGTGAGCATACAGCGAGGTCGGACAGGTGAAATTATGGGCGGACGGAAATGCCACGGAATCTTTCTGAAATTACACAAGTTACCTACATGGCAGCTTTAAATGAGGTGCGATTGACCGGAAGGAGGAGCGGGTGGTTAAAAAAGGTGGGGCCGGTTTTCATTTATCGGCCCATGTTTTTCCCGCGCGGCTCGCCGCTATCCGTCGCGCAATCGCACGCGTCGTCATTTTACATGCCAAATGTCGGAATTGCCCTCGCCTCGGTTTGCGGCTAATAAATGGCGGGTTTTAATTGGCGACGGGATATAATTAATTAAATAATTAGTTTTCGTCGTGAAACATTTATTTTTTTAATTTCGCCTTAAAGCCGCCGCCCAACCTGCGATTTACGGCTGCGGGGCCCACATGGGTTGAGTGGACACGTTGAGGCGGGCTGCGACGAGTACGAGAAGGGTTGTTGCACGCGTGTGGAGGCGGTCAAAAGGGACGAAGAAGACCGAAGATTGCGGTCTCTGTTCGCACGTGTGATGGGTGCGGGGCGGTGGGCGGCGGGGTTTTTATTATTTTTCTTACACGCCGTCCTGTTTGGGTGAGCAGCTTTTATGGTTCTGCCGCGGAGCGGAAGTTGGCACGTGTGTGGGGTCGGCGGTCTCGCTGGGAAGTTTCCGACAATGGTAAGTGGATTGTGGCCGTTAGATAGGTTTGAATGGACGGTGGGGATTTCCTATCGGTGGATGCGATGGAGAGTGGAATGCATAGAGGGGGACCGGGGAATCACGTGTGGGTTGAAGAGAGGATAACGATTGTACTGCGTAAGGGTTGTAAATGAGATCTGAAAAATGGCTGAGCTATGTGCTTTTTATCAGATCTATACTGTTACACAGCTCATATAGATCTATTAATTGAGAGTTTTGACTATCAATTAAAAAATTTTATGTCATATTTGAACTTAGGTTGAGTAAATCGATGGAGACTTTGAAGGATTAAATTCGAGCTCAAGAACATTCTTATGAATTTAATCATGCAAATTAATATGAAAATTACTTATCGGCCGTCTAATACTTGTTAAACTGAAGAAAGAAAGGAAAGAGAAGCAATCATGATGGTTGCCGCAAGGGGGGAGGGGGAGGTTGAGCTTATCAACTATTATTAGGGATCAAAACTACAAATATTTCAGAGTTTTTGGACTTACTTTGACCTCCACAAGCCATTTATTTATGAGCTTTTTGTAGTATAAAATTTTGCTTGAGGTGAGTTTTACTGATGTAAAAGAATCTTTTTGTAATGAGAATTGTTGTTGTGCTGGATATACATACATTGCTAAGATGCTTTATTCTTTTACTCAACTGCCGCATATATTCTCGAAATCCGTTTAAACTTAGTGGAATTTTTTCATCTAGGTCAGTCCCTTGGTTTTTTCCCTTTTTCGAATTTTCCACGTAAAAAAGATTCTAGTGTTTTTTTCTCTCCCAATTATCTGTTGGTGTACCAACTATACATACATTGTTAAGATGCTTTATTCTCTTAATATTGTATACAAAATTTCATTAATTTCAAAATTGAACTACCTTCTTGACACCTACTCTACGTCCATTAATTTTGATATTCACATCTACAAATTTACTCACTTTTCCCATAAAATAATTTAACACCAAGCATATCTTATCGGTCATGGATTAGTTTCTCCCTTGCTTAAGGCCTCACTCTACAACAAATATAATTAAAAGAAAAAAATTTATGTCGAAGTATCCTTAAATAAATTCATCATGACAGCTTTTACAATCTTTAAAATTATACTTGTTGCGTGCTAGAAAATTTGAATTGATAAACTATATGTTTCACGTCTCAGCAGTATACAAAGATGCAGTACTAACATATAAAAATAGTAAGACCAATGAATTTTTTACGTGGAAAACTGTATCATATTATAGTAATTTCAACCTATCTAACATTTTGAAAAACATATTTTGATACATTTTCTTATAAAAATAATTTCACATATTTATACTCCTTCAACTTGCGGATTCATTTTCATTAATTAATATAATTTAATAATGACCCTAAATTTAATGTACTGGCGTGCCATGCTCATCCATTAAAAAGACTAATCACCTTGATGTGTTGAATGAAACTTTTATTAGGTCCGGTGTAAGGACATAGAGGAAGGTCCGGTCGGAAGCAAAATACCATGAAAAAATCCGGTATTTGCTCGATATTGCTAGGTATTATTTGATAATAACAAGGAATACCGCTCTGTGAAGACTAATACCGAGCTATACCGAATTGTACCATGTTTTTTCTAGGAAAAACTCGGTACAACTTTTGTATAACTCAATATTACTAGGTATAGCTCGGTATTGTATCTTCACATGATGATATTCCTCGTTATTGTTTGATATTGCTTGGTATTTGCTCAGTATTTCTCATTTTTTGGCGTGATTTGACCTCCGACCGGACGTTCCTCTAGGTCCGGTCGGAGGACGTAATAATTGTTCGCAAAAGAGTTTTAGCTTAAAACTTAAGTTTATTTTAAAAATAAAGTATTACATTTAGAGATATATCACATATGTACTAAAATTTTAAACTATTTATACCAATAGCTGTACATTTGCATACAATGCTTCAAACATTAAAGAACTAATTTCAAAATTAAATTTATTTAATATAATATAATCTTTAAAATTATTAAATTTATTTTTAATTAGCATGGTATAAAGCCTACAAGTGTAATACTAATTTTAAAATAAATTCAATACTTTGTTAAATCATTCTGAATATCTGCCACATTTTTTATATTCAAAATTTAAATTAAATTTATAAAAAAGAAGCAGACAATCATCAACCTGCAAGCAGACAAAACATTCATGAATCTTTTCTTTTTGGGGGAAAATTTTAGGGCTAATCATATCTCCATTAAAAAATGTTACAATAATATGAAAGTAAAAGGGAAAGATAACCACCAAAATATGAGAAAAAAGTTACATTTATGAGACAAAATATAGAGGAAAAAAATAACATAACAAAAAAAGACCATCAATGTTACATTGATGATGTCGCCAAAGTTACAAACAGACCATCAATAATTTAACATAAGATTAGAGGATGCTTAGGTGGATGAGTGGATTTATCCTTAAAGATAGGATACGAAATGAGGATATATGTGAAAAGGTTGGAGTAGCTCCAGTGGAAGATAAGATTAGAAAGAGTCGACTTAGATGATTTGGTCACATTAAACAGAAGCCTTTCGATAACCCGGTTAGGAAAGTTGAGGTATTAGATTTGACTTATGTTAAGAAAGATAGAGGTAGATCAAAAAAAGACTTTGTTAAAAAATATTAAAAATGATATTTCTTTATTAAATTTAAATGAGAATTTAACTTTTAACAGGACATAATGACGAAAAAGGGTTCATGTAGCTGGCCGACCTAAGCTTAATGTTGTTGTTGTTGTTGTAACAAAAAAATACAATCAATGTTACATGAATTTATGACACAGTCAAGTGATGACAAAGTCATTTAACAAAAGAAAAACACCACCACCACCACAATCACCACCAAGCCTTTATCCTACTACGTAGGGTCGACCACATGAATGATTTTTCTTCATCGTGTTTGGTTAAGAGTCAAATTTTCATTTAAATTTAATAAATGAAAGCTCATTTCTAATATTTTCTAATCAAGTCTTTTTAGGTCTACCTCTACCTTTCTTAAGGCAAGCCAAATGTAATACAAATCAAACAAGAAAAACTTTAGAAAACCGATTAAAAGCAGTAGATTCTTGAAAAACAATCGTGATATGTTTCTGGAAAAACTATGGGAGTAAGTAGCTTGCAGATAAGGTCGCATTTTAACTAGATCTAACTTTACATACAGATTCAGGATAATGAAATCTCTTTTAGCATATAATTGAAATGGGAAATAGAATTACATGCAACTCCAGCAAAGCAGTTTCTATGGATGAACTCAAGTTTAGGAGCATAGAAAGCCAAACAGGCCAACATGGCATCTCAGATGCAAATGAACAAAGAATTAGCTACGAGAAATAGAATAAAGAGAGAGAGAGATCACTCAATGCCATGATATATCAATAAGCTGTACTTAATTTTTGTTTATTACATGCCTCTTACCTCTTAACTTGGCTTTTAGCTATTGCTGATTTTTTTTAAGAGATAATATAGCACAGCTTGATGGGTTATAATATACAAATCTGAATGCAACTCCTTTTTTGCCACAAAAAGTTACCTGAAAAAGACAAGACATCATGAACTGTAAGGCCCGTCAGGTTAGACCAGCTCCTCGGGGGCTCACGATGAGTTGGCGCATTTCCCAGCATCAACAATTACCTTCCATGAGAGGGTTCTACTCGAACCTATTGGCCTATTACCATATATTTCATCACATATTTTCAAAACTATGATAAGAAGTATTTAAATATCTCAAGTAATTCCTATCTATCTTTATAAAAAACAGCGAAAATCCTCCACAAGAATCCACACAAAACTGAGAAAACATTAGAAAATTTGTATTATTTGATGAAATAGAAATGGAAAATTGCAAGATATAGTTGATCCTCAATTCGAGAGGAGGAACAATCACTCCCAAATCTCTAGATGCCGCTAGAGTCCAAAAGAAAATCTAAATCTAAGATATCTCAAATTTCAACCAAATTCAAGATGTCCTAACCCTAGAAAAATAAACTATTTAATGCATATACTTTAAAAGGAAATCTCTAAACAGTCCCAACATTCAATTTCCCTCAACTTTCTCAAAAAGCCTTCCTAAAAGATTCTATGGAGCTTTGCGGTCCGCTTGGCCTCCACGGGAGAGGCGTACTTCCGCCTCTATTCATCTGGGCCAGTCCAGTGTGGACCGGCTGGACCGGTCTAACAAACTAGCACCATTTTCATGCAAACACAATGTAGC